AGTAATCCGGACAAAGTTTTGTGAATTAATTGAAGTGTTAAATCGTACACAATGAGAAGTGTTGACCGCATTATGTGTTGACTTATTATTTTGTTGATTCTTTTAACAAGAAATGGGAATTTTGTTAAAGATGATTTTGAACTTATAATATTCCATTGACTGTATGGAATTGTTTTATGAAATGTTTCAAAGAGGAAATAAGGGTGACATATCAAGGAGAGGTGTACCATGGGATAAGGGTGACATATCAAAGAGAAGTGTACCATGGGATAAGGGTGACATATCAAAGAGAGGTGTACCTTTGGATATAAGGGTGGCATTTGTATGTGTATGTGATATAACTCTTACTATTATATCCTTTAAGACTACCATGGTTTGGAATCTTTATTTCTTTGTGATTTAAAGGTTGAGGATCTGGGTTCTTATTGTAAATCATATTCTGAATGTTATTGAGGAGGAAATAACAAGTTTGGCCTGAAATTTTGAGTAAACCTTGTTTAATTAAAAAGATTTAAAAGTGGCACTATGATATACCTGCTTAGTACAAACCTATTTGTGGTTTTAATATATTATTATTTGCAAGCAGAGAATTTGGCTTGAAAAGTGAAAGGTATTGATAATATGTTCTTACTTGTTCATATATTTATGAAAAGGTATTTTACCTAAAAGTTTTGGTGATATTCACCCTGCAATAACATAAAAAGGGAACTCACTAGACTTTTCGGTCTAACCCTCGTTTTGTGATTTTAAATATGTATTGCAGGAGGTGCAGACGGTAAGGGGAAGGGGAAAATGTAGTATTTTCCTATATGCATATCTGCATGAAGAATTGTCTATGATATGTATAGTTTTGATAAACGAAAGTTGATTAGTACGAGAATTGTATTTTGAATTTTTGGACCGTGTATTCAGTATTCGTAGATTCTTGTACTAAGGGACCTATGTGGTGTAAAAATATGTATTTTTTGTGTATGAAATTTATGTTACATGCAATGTATGGAATGGGGTGTTACAGAAAGTGGTATCAGAGCCTGAGTTTAAGGGATTTAGGTATT